ATTCCTTAGGTCATCTAGGGTTATATGAATACGGGTTGGGTTTTGACCGACAAAAAATCAATTTACCGATTAAAAATAAATGATCGTGTAAAGGACGTTAACATGGGTACCTATGTATGGTTAATTCGTATTTTACATACAAAATGTACTATATTCTTGAAAAAAATAAAATTTCTTTTGAGAAATTCGTAGATACTGCTTCTTTAATTTTCTTCGTGGAATTTTAAAAATCTAAACTATCCTCAATTCGTCACAATTATTACAAAATCAAGCAAATCATAAAGCATTTTGTAAGAACACTACAACTAAGTTTCCATAGAAAAAATAACTGACCAGTGTCAGCTGCAAACCAAACACAACATTATTTACTGATTTAGAATGTATGACCTTTATGTAGCTAAAGAACAGTTTGACTTCTGAAATAGAAATGATGAAACGTACTCGGTTTATCCTAAATTCGTATCGCTATTATTGTTTCAGGAAATTAGCTGGTCATAAGGATTCTCTAATAATTAGCCAATTCAAAAGCAATTTTCTTCTAAAATTGGTTGTATAATTACTTGTTTCTTTGAGCTCTATGAAGTCATACATAGGACAGTATTAAATTACAGACAAAGGGATATAACCAACACAAGGCAAAGTATTGGATTTTAGCAAGAAATACGTAATTACTCTCTATATATGACCCAGTTACTATTTATAGTAACTACTCTTTTTTACATATATCAAACAAGCTTAACGTTTTTGATAGACGGATTCTTTACTATACTGATAATTTGAACATTTATACGTCTTTGAATATCTATATGTATGTTAACACACTAGTCCGTCTTCTAAATGTGTTTTTTTTTGTTTGTTGTTGTTCTTGATAATTTATCATTATGATTACCTGATCGGGCTTACATTATCATACTCTTTAATATAAGTTTTGCCAGTTTAACTAAACAAAATCTCTTCTTTTCGTGAATTTATCGTAATAATTTACAGATGGCATTGTCTCCTGACAGTTGCACTAATTCTGGACCTATGCATGTCCTGAGTTTTAAATTTATTTCCATGTGGCTTCGAAATTCTGGGATTTTCGAACGTCTGCACTGATATGTTTTAGCTGTTTTCCGTTGAGTTGTTGATGTTCCTTTTAACTAGCATCTCAAACAATAGACAGTCCAATATCCAAAGTATGACTTTTGTCAATCTGCCGTTTCTTTTCATACATAAATATTGTCTTTTATCAAAAGCATACATTTGTTTAACCACTGTTTACGTTTAATAAGTAAATTTTTGTTCTCTCAAGGAAATAACAAATAACAAGGTCAATATGGAAAAAATACAAAATGAATGAAGAAGTCCGATAACTTATAAATTTACTAAGCGATAGGCTGAAAATGAAATAAAGCTTTATGAATTTTGTGCGTGCGAAGTGCTTTTCTGGATAAACATTTATCACCAAAGCTGAAGACTACAAAAATTTGGATGTTTAAACACTTGAAGATCAGCAGTATCGACCCACTGATAGAAAAGGAATTTATTTCCTTGGGGAAACCTTTCTGGGATACATTTGTTCGACTATTGTTTTTGTTCATAATTAGATTACTGCATACATTTGCCTTCCCAACCTTTATATTGATTTGATATTGACCTTTACATTTTGCAAGAAAATGCACAAATCTTATTTATATGTCTTCACCAGTAAAAGAGAGGTGAAAGATACCAAAGGAACCTTCAAACTCATTAGTCGAAAACAAACTAACAATGTCATGGCAAAAAATGAAAACGATTAAAAGACAAACAACAGTTTACAATACACAACATAGGAAACCAAAGATTGAGCAACACAAACCCAACCAAAACCGGTAAGTTGTATTACAGTATAAAAATCCCTCGTCTACTCTGGCAATTAAGAATTTAAAGAAAATATTAATGTTTTAGCCAATTTTTTTCACATGTATTCGAATTGTTAAGTGATGAACACAAACGTACTTAAATTTTCAGTTCCTCCTCATATATTTATTGATTGTTGTTTGTTTAATTTCCAGTGGCATCTATATTTTGTATCTCATGTGTACATTCAGAAAGAAAACAAATTATTATATAGATAGGACGGTCCTTCATGCAGAATTGGTCACCCGTGATTAAAGCAGAAATAAGCCAGATGTGGATCCAATATCTCTCATTATTTTTAAACGTATGTTATGAAAAGAATTTTTTACCGGTTTGAAATTACTTTTTTTATTGAATAGTTTAATTGATCATTTTATTTTAGCTGATAAATGATAATAACTATATGTGAATAATGGCAACATTGCGAACAAGTATAAGTATAAAACCTTTAATAACTGGAGATAACATAAAAACGTATCATTTATTGTTTCTATGTAAATTGGATATTGGACTGTCTCTCACTTGTTACCGACCGTGCGAGGGCTGTATAGCCAGTCAAGGTCGTTAAAAACTCCTATCATCATCTCACTTGTTTATCTCCGGTCACTAGCGTGACCTTGGAAAGATAAGAAAATCAGTGTAGTCATTAATTGTGATGACAATAAAATTAAAGCAATTCAAGATTTCTTTTATAATAATTGATCATAACATATTGACAGAAAGTATAACTCCATTGGAAAATATCTGTTTCAAACATTTATGACTGGAAAGAATAATAAAATTATTTTTATTAGTTTTGTGTTAATTGAATACATCGGAACCCTCATTTTTTTTTCTCGGCTACTAATTTGACCTCGAATTAAGTGACCCTACATTGTATTTATTACATCGATAGATTTTCTTTCTCCAGCACAATCAGTATGTATTTTTCCTCTCTATGTTGGCTTCCATTTTATCAACGGAGCTCAAGGCAAATATGCCTTCTTTATATCAAGTGTTCAAAACAACAAAACAAAAGAGAATAGACGACATTAATTAAACACGAATGTAATAGAATTATATTCTTGACCTTCATTTTATCTTTGAATATCATGAATATCGTCGAAAGTATCGATATCTAACTGTTAACATTTCCATTATGAATGAGGTATCATCTCAGTACAATTTATCTTCCTTACTCGTTAAGAATTTATAGAGACTTTTGTTTGTTTTTTTCTAATTGATTTATTGAAGTGAGGTTATTGTTGTTAGTTCTATGACTTACCTGCTATGTATCTACCACATGTTTACAGAGTATTTTTCATGGATACCATCACATGCTGACGCTTGATCTGCTATACTTATTTAATTTAAAGGATATCAACCCAATATCTTTCTCAACACACTGTGAGAATATTTAAACATCACTGTCACATACAATTTTAAAAAAATAATTATGAAACATATTCTTCTGATAACCTGTTTGAAATGGAAATTGGATCGAGACTGACACCATTTAATTGAATATGACAAAAAAATTAGCATAATTAGTTGGATTTGACGGAAGATTTGGCCCTTCTGTGTTGAATTTTTTAATGATGTTACCTCTGGAATATTTATTTTCTGTGGCTAGCATGTATGTACCCGACTGATAACTGTGGTATGGAGACATAGATACATTGCTTTTTCCTGTCCCAAAAGACCCACAAAGGGCATCATTTCTGTGAAAAAATAATAAATTCTCAGTTTTTGTCTTAACGTAGTTTTAAAAACATATGATACCCACTTATGATCACTTATTGAAATAGCAGCGAAACCAAAATCACAGCCCATTATATGCTCAGTTTGGCGCTCAGTTTATCAATGCTACCTGCTTTAAACACTTTGCGTTGGAAAGATAGGGACAGTTTTGCTTTTCAAGGGAGGATCGATTGTGTTGCCTTGTCGTTTTGCATTCATTCTCTAACCAACTATACTATTTTATTATAACTGAGTGGAGTAATGTGAACGAATCTCCATACCGTAAACCTTTTATAGATAAATTTTCTATATTAGTTATATATGGAAAATAATCTTTCTATATTACAAGTGAAGGTTGATTTCTTCAGAGAAAATTGTCAGTGTGTCTTGTGAAATTGGTTTTAAACTCCTATAGTCTCATAAAACTGGATGCTCATTCTATCTTGGATGTAAGTGCTGTCGTGCATGCAGCAATGAAATGAATCTATCAGATCTGTGCCAATTCTTAAAGTTATTTTCTCCCTCACTGAAGTCTTAACAAATCAAATCAGAGAGCGAATTTTACATTTACAATGTTTTGTCATTTTCCATCTTTCTCTTTATGAGATAAGACGTCAGTGTTATGGAATAGCTATATATTTTACATATATTATTGACATACAGATCATGAATTTGTCCAATAACTGTAAAATTGGAAGCAACTGTGGGATTAAGTCTGATCTGCTTTTCTTCTTTGTCAATTACATTGATTTTGTTTATTGCACACCTAAACACATGCATTTATTTACATCATTCGCTTTACGACAATACAAAATGTCTCATCTCACATAGTTAGATTAAAGAATGAATATGATATCCATAAAGAATGATTTAAAGTAAATTGATTGTACGCCTATGTCTTTATAAGCAACCAGTCTCCGTAATTATTCCATTCCTGTTTATGACTTTATCTACGGTCAATTTTTTTTCCCTGGCTCACCACAAATATTATATTTTTATAGACGTTGATAGCATGTTAACACGTACATATTTTCCTCTGTTGAACAGTGCTCTAAATGGATAGTTAAATAATACAGATTGACAAGTAACACGTTGATATTGGAGCTTTGATGGAACCAGATTTTCCTGCCAATTGTATTGCATGATGTACCATAAAGAATTGTTGTATTTCCGATAGAAATCTTAATGGGAGAAGAATCGAGACATTTCATTCATTCTTCAAATCACTTCTTCACAGAATATTAGAAGCTAATCGTTTAAGTCTTTGGAATTTCAGATTTACTTTTCTTTGATAGAAAAATCAATGGAACATCTTCTTGAAATCCACAACCTAACGAAATGACAGGTTGACATTAAACGATGCTCCGTCGTTACCATTCATTAATTCTTTTGCCTTGCAGCATGCGACAAATACCTTTCACTGTTCCAAATCAAAGTGTCGATGTACGTCGACTGGCCAGAGGATCGTCTGAGGAATATCAACCTTCAGGCGGATTATCAGAACCGACATCGCCTTGTGTAAAAAGACCATCTGTAGAAATTCCAGGTAATGTCTTTTGATTTTTAACTTATATTTTAACTATTCTTGATATATTTATAATACTTTTTTTTCAGAAATAATAATATAATGACTATTTTCAATAACTGTTAATTAATTAAAAGCTCGAGATAATTCAAATCTTTGTAGGATTATCGTTGCTTTTATCACCCGATGATATTGTTGATTATTTTGATCATCAAAAACATGTCAAGTGATTTGACTCACTTGTATTTTGTATGGACCGCATGCAACTCCTTTTTATACTGATATTTTTGAAGATTAGATCCACCCAATTTACTTCAAACTTACCTACAGAACAGAAAAGGATATTGCTACTAAATTTTTTCCCCATGATCCAAAAGTAAATTTTTCAAAATGGCTAGGGGTATTCGGTAATTGGGACATACAAATGACTGCATTTATCAGTTGCACATTAATATTGTTGCCTAAGCTGTAAAATTGGAAGCAACTCTTTTTTTTGTCAATATATCGTAAACAAATTACTATGTAACTTGTCAAACTGCCCCACTTGTTTCATGGGACTATGATTTATTTTCACTACAGATATGTATGTAGTATGTCACAGCAAAGTTAAAACTGTATTTTAAAGTATCGTTTCCTCAGCGGCATTCAAACTCAAAGTGTTGAAACTTAAAAAACAGTACTGCTAGCATTAAGACCAGCACTCTAGACCACTAGGTCAGATGGTGCGTATGTGATATATCTTTCGTTAGTCAGGTTATGGTTTTTCTCGTCAGTTTAATTAAGGTAGTAAGTAACACAATGCCTGATGTAAAGCGGCATGGTACTTGCATATCTGTGCAGTTCAACTTTTTATTTAAACTTTCCATTGGCTATTGAAGAGAAATTGGTACACATTCGTTTGTTAAAAACACGTCGAAACAACTGTTGTTGAAGAACTTTTGAGGCATTTGTTTTTTTAAAGATATAAAAATTCAGTACCCGTGAACAAATTTCACAACTATTAGGTAGTAAGGCATACGTTAACGTTAACGTTACGTCAAAAGTAAACTGGATTGATTCTGTTAAATTTACAAATTAATAAAGAAAAGTATAATCAGTATAATTAAGTTTTAAAAGTAATCTTTCTCCGAACGTTTATGACTTTGATCGCCTGTTTTCTTCACTTCGCTTGTAAAAGAAATCATATTTATCAAGAGAACAATAGCAGAAAAAAATGACGATATTAATTAAGAGAATGCTCAGTGCTTTGAGAGAAATCCATAAGATATTTAATTAAAAGTATTAAAGATAGGTCCGAAAGAGAAATATCTGAGAATATTGACATATGTTTTGCCTGCTTTTAAAAGCAATTGGAGACAAATTTTTATACAAACAATGAAATTTACTTTTTAATAGAAAATCAATTTAACACTGAGTTAATTGAGAATTTCAAACATTTGGAACCCACTTTAAAATTGAGGATTTTTTTGAAATGGAAACTATAAAGATCAAAGTTCAATGCACTTATAGACGAATTTTTTTTTATAGAATATGTATACATAAAAATATAGATTAAGTAGGTATAAGATACTCTTTAGTTCTTGAGCTAATGCTCCGTGTTGAAGGCCGTACTTTGACCTATAATGGTTTACTTTTACAAATTGTGACTTGGATGGAGAGTTGTCTCATTGGCACTCATACCACATCTCCTTATATGTTGATAATGATATATATTTATGTAATATACTTTTGTATCAATTACATCAGCTTCATCTTGGGCGTTTATGAATTTACTATTTCCAAGTATACATACAGCTTATGCGTTAATAGTGGTATTGACTATGTCTGGATTGTCCTATATTCTTTTGACATTTGTGATAAGCTGAAATCTTTTGGTGGTCAGTTTGTCCAAATGATAGTAATAATTTCTTTAAACTTTATATGATATTAGAAGATAATTTTATCAAACAAAAATTTTCAAACTAACTATTTTCAAATTGAGTATAATATCATTAATGGTACCAATTTTACTGCACCAGATGAGCATTTCGACAAGTAATGTCTTCTCATTGATGCTCGAGGCCAGCATATTTGAAAAAAAAACCTAATACGAAATTGAAAAGCTGATAAAACCAAAAATGACACAAAGTATAGCCAAATCCGGACAAGGAATAAGAGCTTTGCATGAGAGAGATATGCTACTTAATTCAAAATGATTTCCAAAATTTTAACAGCAAATCTCAATCTGCATGCCAATACCAAAATACTGGCTATGGGGCATATGATACCCTCGGAGACTAACAGTTTACTAACATTATAACTGATGATATGTTTAATTGTTTTGGAGATAAAGCATCCTTCAAGGTACTGGTATTCCGAAAGGAGCTAATTGTGCCTCTTTTTTCTTATTCGTTACTTTGCTGTTATGAATCACAATTAATGTGTTTTCTTAATAAGGACCCAACCATTATTATTTGGCAGAGTTGGTGTTACCAGTCTTTAGTTTAAAATTTAGTGTTTTGTAAACTTGTTAGTCTTTTAGTCGGTTTTCGCCATGGTGTTGTCAGTTTATATTTACATATTTAAACATTCGTCAGTGGAGACCGTAAACTATATTTTTTATTGTGTTCTATTTTAGGTTGCAGTATCGTTGGTTTTCATCCTATTTATCTTTTTATCCAAATATAATGTTACACCAAGTACATGTAGTGTTTGATTTGCGATAGACACTAAGTACTTCACAAGGAATGTTTGGTCTTATTATGTATTTTTCATTTGGGTAAGCAATTATTAAGAAGATTTTTCAAAATATTTTCATTAGACCCCATTGTCCAACAAAGTAAGGTTGTCTGCCTATCGCTTTGTACTTTGACACCGATGTAACCACACTTGATACATAGTATCAAATATACAAGGGACCTTTCAGACATATTTGATTAATTTTAAAAAGTGCCCAGTGATACTTTCTATAGTTCAATGTAAAACTTGGTTCTTTGCTCGTTGCGTTTGCTGATCAACACAAATGTAACCTACTTTCATAGATTCTCCGTTGATAAATAAAGTTATTTTCATTTTGTATTCATGGGTCGATAAAATTGCTGGTGGACTGCTAACCCAGAGGGAATCATCAGCTTTGTAGTCAGTGCTTCGGTACTGACATGATTCATAACATACATTTCTGAAATTCTCCGTTGACAATTTAGAAATTACTAAGAAACTAAGATTTTAACTCCCTCTGGAAAAGTTTACCATTGTAGGATGTGACTATGCCCTTTAAGTCCTTTTTGGTTATTAGCATCCAAAGTCTTCAAGTATTTATATATCCACCATTTTCAAATTATGTGGGTTCGAGCGTTCCTAATGAAGGTAAACCCAGAAAAGCGGTACGAAACTACAAAGTTTATAAAGTGTTGTTTTCATTTAACACCACGTTTGTAATAACCTCACAAAAACACCCATATCATGTTAGTTTCTGTTTATTAAGCCGTTCTATAAAAGAAGCTGTTTTCCCCATATTTGTTTACATATGTTCAATCTGTATTCAATGTAACAATTCCCCTACAAGTGGCAATGTTTGTTGAACGTTTGACACAAACTTAGTAGCCGTAATAGTAACGTCTTTGCCACATTTGTATTCAGCATTACTCATTTAAAAGATTTTTTTAGAACAGTGTATCCGTTTAGGCGGAGAGTTTTATGTATTTGCCATGACATATTATATACAAGCTACATATGTATGCAAGATGGAAGGTCATTATCGATTTTTTTTGCAATTTGTTGCCGTACGAAAACCTGTTACTTTGTTCGGTGACGTCTTCTTTTGAGACTGCCATGATTGATTCTCGCTTCGCCTAAAATACATTTTCATTAAATAATGTATACCTAAAGTAAACAGCTACGTCATTCTTACATGTTATCGGGGATTAAAGCTCATGTTTTCCGGGTAGAAGCTACACCAGCTAAAGCTTATGAAAATTATCCATTCCGCATTCTCTAAACAACTTTAATTACATTCTAGACATTGTATAGTCGAACTATTCTACTAAAATGTGATAGAGGCATTTCAAGTTCACATATTCAATCACAGATATGCTGGATGAATATTTAAAAGAACTGAAAATGTCTACATTCAAAGCAGCAGACATTTCTATTCTCAAAATTTATCTCAAACTAGGGGATTTAAACATTAAATTTTTATTCTTAATTCCTTTTTTCAGTCTCTTTCAATTAGGATTCTATTTACTGTCTATTAGACAGGATGTTGTGTTTTCAAAATAAACGTGCATTGTATCATTTAAGGAAAGAAATCAATGCAGCTGTATGTTTGTCCTTCCAAAACAATGCTTTCGAAATAAATCAAATCATTAGAAAGCTATACGTATCAATGCCTTACAAGAAATCGTAATTGATATAAAAGTAAAATAAAACGATAACGTTTCTTTCATTGTAAAACAAAACATTATTCGTTCGTATTAATAAAATTTTACACTTTCGTCATTGACTAGTACTTAATAATATCTTTTAGTTTGGCATCATGTTTTTTATGCAACTTAACAAAATATCGTTCATGTTTTCACTTTTTTATTCTATTGTAATAAAGGGAGATGCTAAGTAAGGTAAATGCCTAGCCCGTGGTAACCCATATCCATAAGCATGTGGGGTCTACTTGTTTCAAAAATAAAAAAAGAAAACTATTTTATACAGCATTCGCTTGACATTTACTTGCAATGTTTGAATCCAATGATCCCTTCGAAGAAGTATTTGTGAGTATAAAAGTAGTCAGTACTTCTGTGTTGTCATGTTTTATCATTGATATGGTCATAATTATAAATTAACTGTTTATATTCGAAATCGGATTTTCTACCCCAGGAATAGATAACCTTAGCTGTATTTGACAAAACCTTTCGGAACTTTGGGTCTTCAATGCTCCTCAATTTCGTACTTGGCCTTTTTAATTCTTTTGTAGACGAAACGCGAGTCTAGCGTACAAAATAATAATCCTGGTATCTATGATGAGTTTATTGCCATTGTTAATAAAATAC